ATATTTGCCTTCGTTTCCAAGTACTCTTCAGGGGCAGCCCCATATAAAGCACATTGCAATACTCCAACTGGCAGGTGACCAGGACATGAATGACCACGAGTAGGGCCCCATTAAAACCTACTGAGCCAAAGACTGCAGACAGAAACTGTAAAATAATCTCTACATATTGTCAAGACAGCACTTCAGGTAAGCAGAACAGCATGCAGAGTTTTATATATATTTCCAAAATCCAGGGATGAACTTATAATGAACTTGAATTTTATTGCTACCTGACTGATAGTTTGGAAAAAGTGTTCTAGATGCTTTCAAAATAAATGCCTCCAACTTTCAGGAGACCGCTCGGTAAAGGAGAGCTGAGGAAAAAAACAACAACTGACCCTCCAGATGTTGCTTATCTACAGCTTCTAGGAGCTCCAGCCAACAGAACTAATTGTGAGAAACAGTGGAGCTGAAGTCAGTATCATCCAGAGTCACAGATTCCACAGCTTTGTAATTAGAAGCACAGCGGAGGTTAGAATTGGAGATTAGAATTCCTAAATAATGGCAAGTCCTTGAGTGGGCGATTTTTCAGATTTATTGGTGAGTTGTGTATGCAATTGTACTAATGTGCTTCAAGGACTTCTTTTCCCTATTTTTTTTTTTTACTTGTTTGCCAGAATCATGGCTAATGGGTGCTTTGGAAAAGGCTGGATTGTTAATACTTTTTGGAAAGTGTTATGCAATGACTGAACATCTCAAATATATTAATGCTTTAATGCTTAAAGATTTCTGGATTAGAACCAGGTGGCAGCTGTTGGGTAGTTGGCTATTTTATTGAATCATTGCTGTACTTTGAAGGTAAAAGCTTAGGCGTGGGGAACAAGGAAGACCTTGTATTACATAATAATACAATTGAAATCTTATTGCTTTCCAACTGATTTTGGCTCTTCCCAAACATCTACCCAAACTTCAATTTAAGGAAGATTATTGCTTCTCCCTAGCGATCAATGAAGCTGCAGCCAGATTTCTCTAGGATGTCATGATTGCTATTTCTTCATAATAATCTTAGAATACGGAAAAATAAACAAAGAAGGAATACTCAATATTTATACCAGACTTGTATATCCACTACTTATTTGGGTATTTCAAACCTTTATTAAGTCTTGATAAAAGAATGCATAAAAATACATAAAACAGCTGATCTTCTAGGCCTGAACCTAACATGTTTGACAATTCAACAATAACAAGTTAAAAAACAAAACAAAACCATTCCCACTCAGTCATCACACATTAATTCTGAAAGTTTTTACAAATTCAATGATAGCTATATTTCTAAAACTTGGCCAGCTTATCTGACCAACTTCCCTATTGCTAAAACTTGGGAAATTTAATTTTCTAACTACAGCGTGACAGTATTTGTGTGTGTCTATATATGTATAGTTCTCTTTTGGAATTGTTGAGCAAAATAAGTTCTTGTAGGAGCACTTTCAGTTCTGCCTTACCCAGCTTTATATAGGGCGCTGCTGGTGGAAGAGTCTTCTGCTGATGCCAGCAAAAGCACAGCGAAGGGATCTGCTGACAGGTTATCCCCTTGACTTATATTTTCCCTTGCTATTTCAAGTCTACCAGGACAGTAATTCATTCTCTCTTCCCTTTGAAAAAACTAGGCTGCTTTAAAACTTTGGCTTTTTCCCCCCAACCTCTCTCCACCTGCCAACCCGTCATTTTAGGGCTGCTTGTTCTCAGAGGGTGAAGTTCACTTCATAGTCACATTGGTTCCTTTTCCAGATGTGAGCTTGATCTGGATCTTTTTTCTTTTTTTTCCCCTTGGCTATAAACAAAGAGCAGGCGGTGAAGTGGAAGAGAGGTGGTGAAAATGTGCTTGGGTTGAAGCCATAACACATTTCTCCTTCACCTGGAGAAGCTGATGCAGCTGAAGCTATATAAAGATGAAAAGCCATTCTCGCCCGCCCCATCCATCACTCAGTTCCAAACGAATGAGCAAAATACCAGAAGTCTGCAAAAGCCTAACCATTTCGGAAATCCTGGATCTTGAAGAAAAATAGCAAGAGTACTTATATACCACTTCTCAGTACTTTACAGCCCTCTCTAAGTGGTTTACAGTGTTAGCATATTGCCCCCAACAATCTGGGTCCTCATTTTACCGACCTTGGAAGGCTGAGCCAAACTGAGATTCGAACTGCCAAACTTCTGGCAATCAGCAGAAGCAGCCTGAAGTACTGCATTCTAACCACTGCGCCCCCATGCTTCTCATCACAAAACCTTTGTGTCTGAAATGGGATGTTCTGACTTCAGAAAGTCTGATAAAATCAAAAGCACCCATTTCAACATTGGGATGCTTAAAGTTGGAATGGAATGTTTGAGCATTGTAATGTAGAGTGACATGAAAATGTTTTGCACATCTCTGCAAAACAATTATGGCACATCCATGTCAAAAATCTTATTACAGGTAGTCCTCGACTTACAACAGTTCATTTAGCGACTGTTTAAAGTTACAATGGCACTGAAAAAACTGACTTATGACTGGACTGTTTTTCACACTTATGACCATTCAGCATGCCCATGGTCATTGATCAAAATTCAGATGTTTGGCAACTGAGTCTTATTTATGACAGTTGGAGTGTCATATGAACACTTTTTGTGATCTTCTGACAAGCAAAGTCAGAGTCACTTAACAATTGTGTTAGTTACTAATTTAACAACTATGGTGACTCGCTTAACAATTGTTCAAGTAAGGTAGTAAAATAGAGCAAAAATCACTTAATAACTGTCTTGCTTAGCAACAGAAATTTGGGGCTCACTTGTGGTCATAAATTGAGGAATACCTGTATTTTGCAAAACCAAACTAGGATCTCTTTTGAGTACCCCAAAACCATGCATGAGTTTTAACAGGATTACATTTGCTGTGTGGTGTCAAAGAAAGTAACTCACTGCTAACCATATATACCATTTTTTAGAGTTTCACTTTGGCAATGCCCCTATAAAAGCCATAGAATTTTTCTTTCAAGGAATCAAGCCTATTGATATTATAATGCAGACTTCCTAACCTATGGTCCAAAATATCTTTGGACTATAAATCCCAGAATTCTCAGATAGCCCCTTTAGTCCTAACATATTTGGAAACCAACAGATTAGAGGAAGGCTACAATAATTGCTCTCCGTCAACTTGGTTCCGTATCATATAGAGCATCAGGTGGTCATAAGGCAAAGATGTTTCAAAATGAGAAAACAGTTTTTAAAAAGTTCTACTATGTGTGCACCGGTGTGTCTTATTCTCAATTCATATTATGCATTGCAGGGAAGCAAGGAACATTTTGCTGTCAAGTAAGGATAGTAAAATCTTAATAAATAAAAGATGCTTCACCATTTCTTATTTAGTGTAACAAGGCCATAAGCCAAGCACTCAAATGACTGTTCCTTCATTAAGTTCTTTTTTACTCATCTCAAAGAAAATTGCAAGTGGAAAGAAAAATACCTTTCTTGACTTATTTTTAAAATGATTACATTCCTGGCACTCCTATTCTCAATCCTTAAATCAAGCTGTTAAAATTTACACAAAACATTTAAAGACTCCTTAAAACTTAATCTTCCTAGTAAAGCAGATTTGAAAAATAAAAATAAACTGAAGGTACCACCTCACCAAACAATGTTTGATAAAACCTTAAATAACATTTACATATATATTATATTTCAAACTGCTATATTGAGCAAGAAGTGAGGTTATATTTTATTTGGCGTTTTCAAATAAATTAAAGCCATTTATCATCTTTTTTTTTTTAAAAAAAACCTGTTCTAAAATACCTAATTAACTTTGCATTCAAGTGTAAGTATGGTGCAATGTTTATCCCAGTTAGAACCAGAGAACAGGTAGAAATGAGCTGTAAAAAATTATTGGTTCCAGCTTTGTGACATGTTGTATTTTTTTTTAATTGAAATTTAAACACAGTGGATGCCACCATGATTAACGTGAAGGCTGGCAGTAATAAAAATGGGATGTGGGGGAGATTTCACTCATTTAGATGAAAAGAAGTGTCAACGTTAAAAGCAGTAACATCAACTGATTCATTTATTTCAACTTTTTGTTAAAATGCTATATTTATCTGGCAGGGGAGCTACCTTGATCGTGAAGTATTTGAATTTGATATTGATTTCAATATCATTAGCTTAAGAAAAACATATCTGGAGGAATTCTGAAGGAAGTGTACAATTATCCTGAAGGCTAACATATTTAGGCCAAGAAACATATCGCATGTACTTTCATTACATTCTCTTTCATCTAAAAGGGAAGGTAGTCCATTGATAATATACAACAACCATAATGGTTCATAAAAATCAAAGCCCATGAAAGATCTAGATTTAAAAGCAAGTGAGTCTCTTTTAACCAAGCTCTCTCATCATCAGACCTCTACAGATTTAACGTTAGAAGAAGACTATAATGAGAACTAGGTATTCTGTATAGGAAAGCAAAATAAATAAAATACATGTCAATTCAAAGCTAATGAATTCCATCTTCTGAATGGAATTCTCAGTCATTCTTGGAGCAAAGAGCAAAAGTATAATACATCTGGTGCTGGGTAGAATATGAACTCCCAGATTGGTTTGTAAGATTTAAATACAGACTGAGCAAAAATCCTGTTTTACATTTCTTCTCAATCCATTTTACCCATTCATTTTAATAACATTTGGTGCCAAGTAGGTGAAATTTGGAAATCTATGTATTATGCACCTAAGTAAAGTCTTTGGGCTTTCTGAGGAGTATCTGCTTTCTCAATCTCACCTATTAATTTTACAGGGAGGGAATGGAAAAATGAGGATAAGGATTTTTTTTCTGTAGTTATAGTAATGACTCCAATTCATTGATTTAAGCTTGAATATTGAGGATAATCCTATTTTTCCCTCTTGGGAAATGAAAGAAGACTTCATTTATGACTTCATTTTTTTCAAACACACTTTCCCCGTGCTTTTCAAAAACCATGTCTACCTTTGGTGGGACTACTTACCTGCATAATCTGTTCTTGCGTAATGTCCATCTTCTGATTTTGTAGTGGCAGTTGTGTTATCTGAAAGACATTGCATTTGTTTACTTTGGTTGCAAACTGAAATCAAATCCCTATATGGTTCTCTTGCATTTTAAAATCGCAGCTGTGATTCACAGTTTAGTTTTATACCAGTGATGAAATGTAAAAACGCTTTGGTTGCTTTTCTTCTAAAGCCAATGCAATCATTTGAGCAAAGCTTGTAGAAAAGTACATAAGAATTTACAGGACTGTACATAAAATCATAAAAAAATTCCTTTCTGGATTAGGATGAGATTCTTCCTAGTTCATCCTTCTGTTTCTCATGATAGCTACCCAGTAAAGTGCTCACATACAAGAGAAGGAGGTAGAACTTTCTTGCACCAGGAAATAATATAAGTCAAAAGTCATATTGAGCTTTTAAGACCAATAATCTTTGCTAGATGACTCCTTCATTAATTTTTCATTAATCCTTTTCAAAGTCATCAATTTAGTGGCCATTGTCACATCTTGCACCACCTCAGATAAACTGTAGAGGATTTAAATTTGAAGTGCGTCAGGGTTAGATTTCTCTTGGTTGGAACAGGAACATTTTAACCTTATGACTTATTTTATTCTCAGTCTACATATCTGAACAGCTTTGTGAAAGCTGTGTGGATGTACTGAATATCTGAGGGAGTTCAACGGAATGACTACATATAGTTTCCCAATTGGATAGTTTCCCAATTGCAGTGAGGAATGTGGCTTTTACTTGCATTTGAATGGAAGTCTTGATAGACATAACTGACTGAATGTTTATTAGAAGAAAAATCAATGGTTAAGATAATAGGTTTAATAATGACAATTTGCATTGTATGTATGTTATATTGCTGGGTTTTTTTATTATTATTTGTATTTTGTAAATCATAATGGCTACATAAGAATAGCTCAAAAGAATTATATAAAATGTTTAATAATACACACACTTCTATCAAAAACTGAGAAAGTAAAGCATTATTATGTACCATTTATACAGTCAGGCTATATCTGTGGATTTCCCCCAGTCATTCCGAGAATATTTAAAAGTATAAATAAATGAATAAACAATTTGTAAATTATGAACATATTTCCTTTTTTTAAAGTATAGTTAAACAAATCAGAAGTTCTTGGGAATAAATGAACTTTCCAACTAAACAAAATCTCATAGAAGTCCCAAATTTATTTTATTTATTTGTTTCCATTTATATACCGCCCTTCTCCAATAGGACTCAGGGCGGTGAACAGCCGAAATAAAAACAGAACATACAAAATTTAAAAGCAGTTTAAAATGATTAAATATTTTTGGCCGTAATTTAAAACAACCCAATTTAAAATCAATTAAAATTTAACTCAAAACTGTGGGATCAAGCCAGCCCAGCTAGTTGAAATAAATAAGTTTTCAGGGCCCGACGAAAAATCTGGAGGTCTGTTATTGTACGTATCTCTGGGGGGAGGTTGTTCCAGAGGGTAGGCGCCGCCACAGAGAAGGCTCTCCCCCTGGGGGTCGCCAGCCGACACTGTCTGGCGGATGGCACCCTGAGGAGGCCCACTCTGTGCGAGCGTACTGGCTGGTGGGAGGCTATTGGTGGCAGAAGACGGTCCTGTAAGTACCCTGGCCCTAAGCCATGGAGCGCTTTAAAGGTGATCACCAACACCTTGAAGCGGACCCGGAAGTCCACCGGAAGCCAATGCAGCTCGCGCAGGAGAAGTGTCACATGGGAGTGCCCCGTCGCTCCCATAATCCCCCGCGTGGCCACATTCTGGACCAGCTGGAGCCTCCGGGTGCACCCCAGGGGGAGCCCTATGTAGAGAGCGTTGCAGTAGTCCAGGCGGGAGGTGACGAGTGCCTGAGTGACCGTGCGTAGGGAGTCCCGATCTAGAAAGGGGCGCAACTGGCGTATCAGGCGAACCTGATAAAAAGCCCCCCTGGCCACGGCCGTCATATGATCGTCTAGAGACAGCCGTGCATCCAGGAGGACGCCCAAGTTACGAGCCCTCTCTGTGGGGGCGAGTGATTCGCCCCCAATAGCCAGCGATGGCGTCAGCTGGCTATATTGGGATGCCGGAAGCCACAGCCACTCGGTCTTGGAGGGGTTGAGTCGGAGCCTGTTTCTCCCCATCCAGGCCCACATGGCCTCCAGGCACTGGGACATCACTTCAAGGGCATCGTTGGGGTGGCCTGGGATGGAGATGTACAGCTGGGTGTCATCAGCATACTGATGGAACTCCACCCCGAAGCCACGGATGATCTCACCCAACGGCTTTACATAAATGTTGAACAGAAGGGGCGAGAGGACCGACCCTTGTGGCACCCCACAAGCAAGGTGCCTCAGGGTCGACCGCTGCCCCCTGTCAACACAGATTGCAACCGGTCAGAGAGGTAGGAGGAGAACCACCGCAGAACAGTGCCCCCCACCCCCAGCCCCTCCAACCGGTGCAACATGATACCATGGTCGATGGTATCAAAAGCCGTTGAGAGGTCTAACAGGACCAGGATAGAGGAGCAACCCCTATCCTGAGCCCTCCAGAGATCATCCACCAACGTGACCAATGCCGTTTCCGTGCTGTGCCCAGGCTGGAAGCCGGACTGGAGCGGGTCTAGATAGACAGCTTCATCCAGGTACTGGGGAAGCTGCTGCGCCACCACACTCTCAACAACCTTCGCAACAAAGCGAAGGTTGGAGACTGGACGATAGTTAGCCAAAACAGCCAGATCCAGAGAGGGCTTCTTGAGGAGGGGCCTCACCACCGCTTCTTTCAAAGCGGCCGGCAGGACCCCCTCACTCAGAGAAGCGTTAACAATCCTCTGGAGCCAGCCTCGTGTAACCTCCCGGGAAGCCAGTACCAACCAGGAGGGACACGGGTCCAATAAACATGTGGTCGCGTTCAGCCGTCCCAGGATCCTGTCCATGTCCTCGGGAGCCACAGGATCAAACTCCTCCCAGATAACGCTCTCAAGACCTGCCTCAGTCATCCCGTCTGGACATACCCAGTCAGAGGCCAGCCCTTCCCAATCTGAGCGATTTTGTCATACAGATACTGCACAAAATCCTCGGCTTGGCCCTGCAAGGGGTCATCCCGCACTTCCAGATGGAGGAGGGAGCGGGTCACCCTAAACAGGGCGTCCGGGTGATTATCTGATGACGCGATAAGAGCGGCGAAATAGCTAGATTTTGCCGCTTTTATCGCCACTAGGTAGGTCTTAATATGAGACCTCACCCGTGTTCGGTCAGATTCGGAGCGGCTGGTCCTCCAACTACTCTCCAGGCGTCTTTTCTGGCACTTCATCTCCCTCAGCTCCTCGGAGAACCAAGGAGCTAGGTGCCGGGTCAGAGGCCGCAAAGGCACGACACGGTCCAAGGCCCCGGCGGCCGCACTATCCCGAGTCATGAGTCAGAGACTCAGGAAATGGCCCAAGCTCCATCTGGAACCTATCAGGATCCTGGGGCGGAACCACCTGGTCGGTCCCGCCTCCCTGCGGCGGGGTGCAGCGGTTAGAAAGTCCAGTCGAAGGAGCGAGTGGTCAGACCATGACAAGGGTTCGATGGCTATATCCCCTGTATCAAGACCACTCAACCACTGACCAGAGACAAAAACTAAGTCCAGAGTGTGTCCACCTATGTGAGTGGGGTCATGAATTAACTGAGTAAGGTCCATGGCCGTCATGGAAGCCATGAACTCTCGAGCCACCTCAGACGTTTTACCGATAGATGGCAGGTTGAAATCCCCCATGACAGCAAGTCTGGGGGTATCAACCGCCACCTCGGCTATAACATTAAGTAGCTCGGGCAGGGCCGTTGCCATGTGGCAGGGAGCCAGGTACGTGACCAACAAGCCCATCTGTACCCCATGATCCCACTTCACAAAGAGGGACTCACATCCGGCTATCTGTGGAACAGTGGTCTCCCTTGGATCCAGACCTTCCTTTATAATAACCCCCACCCCCTTGCCCCTACCCTGAGCCCTCGGCTGATGAAATGCACGGAAGCCTGGTGGGCATATATCCACGAGGGGAACTCCCCCCTCCTGGCCCAACCAGGTCTCCGTAATGCCTGCTAGGTCCACTTCCCCCTCCTGAATAAGATCGTGAATGAGGGGGGCTTTATTAACAATGGACCTGGCATTGCATAACATCAGTCGAAGGCTCTGGCCCTTAATTAATTTATTTAATTAAGGGAGCTTTTGAGAACTTGTTATATTTGAGATAGTCAGCTTTTCCCTCTAGAATTAAAAAAATCCAAAGTAGATTATCCAGGGAGGAAAAATGAGAAACAGTAGTCATGTATGAAATGATTAAAACTATATTTGCTAGTCTGTACTATCAGCCTTATTTCTGAACAGACATGCATGGGCTATATTGAAACCCTGGAAAGTAAATCTTTTTTGCTGTTGGAGTTTTACTGCACATATCATTCTATTGCATACTGGAAAAAAATGAAAGTCAATAGTCAGAACAAATTATTTTCTTATAGGGTCTCTGTTCTGTTGGAGAGCAGGAAATCAAGTTGATGAACCATCTGTGCCTGACCAAGATATAGAAATGCCTGGCTTTGCCTGATCTCTGAAGCCCAGCACAGTTGAATAGTCGGTATTTAGAAAGAAGATCTTAAGTCTGTAGGTTATCAAAAACACTTCTCTGAAGGCAACAATGACAAACAAATTCATTCTGTTAATAGGAAAACTACAGCATTGTGTTCATGAAGTCACAAAGAATCCAGCTGGATTCCAAAGTGATATAACTATACATACTGCAATGAAAAAAAACCTCTAAACCTTCCAGCTTCTGGTCTTGGTAGGTAAAACAGTGGAGTTTGTCGGTGATGATTATATTCACACTGGAGTGAAGACATATCAAAAGCCCTTTCAGATCTCTCAGTTCATTCTGGAGAGGTCAGGAATTTCTACATAAGAAATATTGCTCCTAGTCCAATGTCCTTTACATATTTTAAAACAGGGTCTTCAACCTTGGTGACTTTAAGACTTGTGGACTTCAACTCCCAGAATTCCTCAGCCAGTTTTGCTGGCTGAGGGATTCTGGGAGTTGAAGTCCACAAATCTTAAAGTTGTCAAGGCTGGAGACCCCTGTTTTAAATTTTCTTGGGTGGCTGTTGTGCCTGAACAGAGTTGTGATAATAAAGGCAAGCTGTGTGTCTTTGAGGGTATTTTTTTGGGCCAGTTGAATGTTTCCTTGCAAAATAAACACACTATTCCTAGATCTATGGCTGGATCACAGCTGTACCCAGAACATATGTGCAGCTAATGTCTGGTTGCCAGAATCCACTTTGGACTTGAACACATTTTATATAGAGATATGCAAGACTACACAACTTTATGTTCTCCATATGTTAATAGTACAATTCCAAATTAAGGCAGAGAACCCGAATCCTGGTCTCACCATGCTCTGCTTGGAACTGGGCTCTGTTACGATCAACTGCTGCCAACTGTTAATGGAAGCTTTGTTTACGTACAGATATTACCTGACAGAACTTTGGATTAGGGCCTTGATCCAGATGTTCCTTTCAGATTTTTCTTTAACAATGACAAACAACCTAAATGGAGTTTTTCTGTGACAACAGAAAGGGGAATGAAGAAAAGCGTAGCTATATAGATATTTTCAGAGGTACAAATTTGTCAGAAAAATTGAAGATTTTTAGAATCTTACAGAAATAAAGTTGGGTACCCTACATTCTTGGAATCAAAGTATTCCATCTCCCACAATTTATAACCATCTTCCATAATTTGATGCTCTCCAGATTCTTATTCTCTCCAGCCACCAAGGCCAATGATAAGAGATTATAGCACAAAACTGGAAGGCAGACTGAAACCTCAAGGTTATACAAGGCACTTTCAATGGAGGCAGTGGAATGGGAAGAGAACTGCAATCACCACAACCACTAATACAGTACATTTCCAATTGCACTAGAACAGGTTTCCCTAACCCCTGGGCTACGGATCAGTACTGGTTCCTGGCCTGTTAGGAACCAGGCCGTGAAAGTGGTGGGCAAGTGAGTGAAGCGTCATCTGTGCATGCACGGGATGTAGGTTGTGCATGAAACCATCCCTCCCTTGTCTATGGAAGATAATTCCCCCCCCCCGAAACCGATCGCTGTTGCCAGGAAAGTTGGGGGCTGCTGCTCTATCACCTCTCAGTATTGTCAAATAAAGCTTTCTTTCTGCAAAGCCTTGTAAATACACGTGTGTGTGTTTCTGTGTTCATGGAATATTTTTAAGTCAGCTCAAGATATACAGAACCTATTGACCCAGCATGTAGATTTCAGCTTAATTTTAAAACCCTAGTACATCTTCTTCCTTTGTTTCTTACACTGTTTGGGTATATCATAAGTACTGTCAAAATTCTAGGTTAGTGTACAAAGACATAGCAGCAATGCAGTTGTTTATCTTCTGTTTCAATTGAATGTAAGGATGCTGAATAACTGTACCCTTGACCGTGAGCCATAATAAAACGACCATTAGGGTCACACCTGTTCACAGCTTGAAAATCTATGGAAAACATAAGAAATGTCTAATACCGTAAGAATTCATGCCAGCTCCCTCTGTCCCAGGTCTCTTTCTCTTAAACGTAACAGAGTAAAAATGGAGAGCTATCTTCCAATTGAATTTTGCTAGGAGCATTACCTTGACATCGGCCCAAAGACATGACTTCAATTTTCTCCTGTTTCTGACATGATGCCTCTTTGATCTGACATGCATTATCATAAGATCTTCCATCGGAAGCACAGAGAGGGTTGAAGTTGGTTTGTGAACAGTCAATGTTGCACACACACCTGAAAAAAAAAAATAACTCATGTAAAAAAATAAAATAAAACGCATTGCTTTAACAATAAAAGGAAGTGCTTTCACTTAAAAATAAATGACACCAATAATAAATTAAGAAGAAGCGCCGAGATTTTGCTAAGACTTTGCAATTATAATGTGAATAAAATGAAAGAGAGGGCTGGCAGAGGACGAGTGTCTAGAAAAGAATACAACAGAAAGCTAAAATGAAAATATTTTAATAGGTAGTCCTTGTCTTATAACAATTCACTTAGTGACCATTTGAAGTTACAATGGCACTAGAAAAAGTGATCTATGACTGTTTTTCACACTTACAACCATGGCAGCATCCCCATTGTCAAGTGATGAAAATTTGGACATTTGACAACTGGCAATGTATTTATGACAGTTGTAGTGTCCTGGAGTTATTCGTTCACCTTTTGTGATCTTCTGACCAGCAAGTAAAGTCAATAGAGAAGCCAGATTTACTTACGTACCTCTCTGCCATAATAAAAATAATAATCTCAGCAATGTGTTTTGTTGGAGGGGACATAGCAAAATATTCAGAGCCTGCAAGCACTGCTGGGGCCTGATTTATATCATTGTAAGGATTAACCTGATGGTATCCTTTGGCCAACCTGCCAAAATTATGTTTCATAATGCCTGTCTTGTTCACATAGAAGTCAGATGGAGGGAAGTGTGTACAAGGGAGGAGATCTTCCAAATTCCCATCTACTTTTCTGCATCACAATTTCTCCAGCTATTTTTCTCCCTTTAGGTATTGAAAGGTATTGAAAGAAATATGAACCAAGAGTTTGGAATACTGTGGCAGTGGAAAAATGCGTATGCTCCCTATTTTGAGATTCAACTAATACTGGGTCAATAACAGATGCAATGGTTCCCTCCTTTGTTTGGAAACAATGGGAAAATTTCATGATTATCTTTAAACCTCAAAACTATCAGGGCTAAAATAGAACGGCTAAATCTGTTCTGTTCTGTTCTGTTCTGCTCATCCCTATTCCTCTCTCTATCCCTACTCTACTCTACTCTACTCACTCTACATAAAATTTAAAAAAATGAGTCTGTCAATGTTGGTGTCTCTTATTTTTTCCCATTTATATTTTTCCAGTTGACTTATTCTGTTTCCCTCATTAGTCTGAAATGGACGTTGTCTTACCTGAACGTCCTTTTTCGGAACGCTGCGTATACACTCCAGCATAGGGTTAAATCCTCATTTCTGCCAGCAACTGAGAGAACCTTTATTTAAATAACTTCCTACTCTGTGCTCTCACCACGCCCCTTTTGCACTCAGTTCCCCAGTCTTGAACGAAGACACAGCGTGTGAAACACAACAAGTTTATTAAACCAACCAGAAACAAAACACACAAACCAACAAAAAAACCAAATGGGTGGGAAATGGAGTGTATACGCAGCGTTCCGAAAAAGGACGTTCAGGTAAGACAACGTCCATTTTCCAGAACGCTGCTACTACACTCCAGCATAGGGACATACCCAAGCCTCATTCCCAGGGCCGGGCAAACCACCGCTCCCCTCAGAGGAGCCAGAAACCACAGTCTGCAGAACTCTCCGACCAAAAGACACCTCCGCCGAAGCGTAAGCATCAATGCGATAGTGCCGAATGAACGGCGACAAGGAAGTCCATGTGGCAGCTCTGCAAATGTCCAACACCGATGCCTGGGTAGCCCAGGAAGCCGAGGTGGCAGCACTCCGGGTCGAATGAGACTGAATTCTCGCAGGCACAGGGCGCACCTGCCTCTCGTAAACCAAAGAAATGCAGGCCTTAATCCAACGACCAATAGTGGCCGACGACACCTTCTTCCCCATAGAAGCTGGATGAAATGAAACAAACAATGCCTCCGTCTTAGGAAAAGACTCCGTTCTGCGAATGTAGCGCCTTAGAGCCCTGCGCACAATCCAGCGTGTGCCAAAGAACCTCACGGTGATGACTGGGCGACGGACAGAAGTCCGGAAGAATCAGTTCCTGCGAGCGGTGAAACCAAGAGTTAACCTTGGGGGTAAAAGCAGGATCAAGTCGAAGCACAATGGTGTTAGCGTGGAAAATACACAAATCCTTCCGTACGGATAAGGCCGACAGCTCAGATATGCGCCGAGCCAACGTAATAGCTATCAGGAAAGCTACTTTGAATGATAGAAACTTCAAAGAAATAGAACCCAGCGGCTCAAACGGTGAAACAGTAAGGGCCTGTAAAACCAGCACCAAATCCCAAGAGGTATAACGGTGAACGGTGGGCGGCCGCAGGTTTGTAGCTCCATGAAGAAACCCCCTCACCCACGGGTGATGGGACAGGGATGTGTACGGAGGAAAGGAAAGCACCGTGGCCAGGGCCGCCACCTGACGTCGAAGGGTAGCCGGAGCCAGGCCTTTGCCCAACCCCGCTTGCAGGAAACCCAAAACATCCTGAATAGTCGCGGACGTCGGATCCACATGGGCCCCCGCGCACCAGCAGCAAAAGGCCCTCCACGAGGCTTCATAAATCCTTGTTGTAGAAGGTCTACGGGCCGCCTGGATCGTCCCAATCACCTCGTCCGGCAAACGGCCCTTCCTCAGGATAACGCGTTCAAATGCCAAACGGCCAACTGGAACCACTGGGGCTCGGGGTGTCGAATGGCCCCTTGACGCAAGACAATCCGATGAGGAGGGATTCGCCACAGGGCCGACGTCGAAAGTTCCACGAGGTCCGCGAACCACTGTCTGCGTGGCCAGTACGGCGCCACCAGCAGCACCTCCGCCTGCTCCACCAGCAACTTCCGGATCACTCGCTGAATCAATGGCACTGGCGGGAAGGCGTACAGAAAGCCGGCCGGCCAACTGAATCTCAGTGCATCTGTGTCCTCTGCGAGCGGCGTCGGAAATCGAGAGATGAACCTCGGAAGTTGCGCGTTGGCCGGGCTGGCGAAGAGGTCCACCACCGGCCGCCCGAAGCGAAGTGATGCTTCCTGAAACAGACTGGGAAGCAGCTGCCACTCGGCCTGATCGATCACTTCTCTGCTGAGCCAGTCCGCCCGAGTATTGGCTATCCCGGAAATGTGGTCCGCTCGGATCGATGCCAGATGAATCTCCGCCCAGCTGAACAGACGCTCCGACTCGAGCATCAGGCTCCGCGACCTCGTCCCTCCTTCGCGGTTTACGTGCGCCTTGGCGGACGTGTTGTCTGTGAGTATTAGAATGTGACGGCCGCGAATCAGGGACTTGAAGTGTAGCAGAGCGAGGCGGATCGCTCGTAGCTCCAGCAAGTTGATACTGTGAGTGCGCTCCGCCGGAGTCCATTGTCCCTGTGCCACTTGTGCCTCCAGATGGGCTCCCCAACCATGGAGACTGGCATCCGTGGTGATCACGATCCGGTCTGGCTCCAGAAAGTTGCATCCCCTCCGAATGGCCGTCGACTTCCACCAACGTAGCGATAGGCGAACTCGTGGAGGGACCAGCACCTTTTTTGACGAATTGGAGCTGTGGTCTCTCTGAAAGGGGAGCAGGAGCCATTGTAACAGGCGAGAGTGCCTGCGCGCCCACGGCACAATGCGGAAGCACGACACCATCTTCCCCAACAACCGGACAACGTCAGCAGTGGTACCGACCTCTGGGCTAAGATCTGGTCCAGGAGTGAAAGGATGCTTCTCACTCTGTTTTCTGACAGGAAGACCTGCCCCCTCCCAGAGTCTATCACCGTCCCTAGATGTAAAATCGAGGTTGAAGGAACAAGGTGGCTCTTGTCCAGATTGATAGTGAAGCCGTGCTCCCTGAAGGCCGAGATCACCTGCTCCATGTCTCGCACTGCTCGTTGTCTGGACGAAGAAAGGACCAGCACATCGTCCAGGTAACAGAGCGCTCTGACTGGAATGGCACTGAGTGCTGCCGCCACCACCGCCACCAACTTGGTGAAAGTGCGGGGAGCCGAAGAAAGACCGAACGGCATCGCACAATATTGGTAATGACCGCCCGCATATTCGAAGCGTAGAAATTGACGATGCGAAGGCAGCACCGGAACATGCAGATAGGCCTCTCGTAAATCCACCGACTGCATCAGGTCCCCTGGACGAATCGAAGCCAATATCGAGTGAAGGGAGTGCATTTTGAATCGACGGTAACGTACCGTACGATTCAAATCTTTGAGGTTGAGAATCCCTCGAACGCCCCCTGAAGATTTTGGTACCAAAAACAGGACCGAATAGAACCCGGTCCCTCGTTGATCCACCGGCACCGGTTCTATCGCCCTGATCTCCAAAAGGTGTGAGATCTCCTCCTCCATCAGGTTGCAGTCCATGGACAGGGGCACGGGACATCTCAGGAAGCGTCGAGGAGGTCGATCCAAGAATTCTATTGAGAGTCCGTCTGAAATCGTGCGACGAACCCACTCGTCCGACATGGATTGGTCCCACTGGCGACGAAAAGATTGAAGTCGCCCGCCGACGGGACCTGGAGTCGGTGAGTCATTTGCCCCTGCGATAGGGCTTGGAGTTGGCCCCGCGGTAGGGGGCAGGTTGAGGTCTGCCACAGTCCCTGAATCGTTGCCTGTCTGTGAAACGTTCTGACTGCTGGAATGGAGGTCTGTAAGTGGAGGGGCCTCCCTGCCCCGAGTAAGCCCGAAAGGGCTGACGCTGCGAGTACGGGGTATAGCGCCTGTCTTGCTTGCGAGAAGAGGAAGGCATAATTTTACGTTTGTCTTTGTCCTCCACCAGGACCGGATCCAAAGCAGCGCCGAATAGGTGGGAGGCCTTATACGGAGCCGCTGCCAGCTTCCACTTGGCTTTAATATCCGCCTTCCACGGGCGAAGCCAGAACAGACGACGTGAAGCAATGGAAGCTGCCATCGCCCGGATGCAAACTTGACCCAGTTCAACGAGGCATCTGCTGAGTATTCCGTGGCAGCTATGATTTTATTGATATCATGAAGCATACGCCGTTCCTCTGGTGGCAGCCGTTCTCGGAGCTGTCGCAGCCAAATCAGAGATGCACGATTGAAGAACGACG